CTTGCTCCTTTTCAAGATATTCCCATTTTGCACTAACATATTTTTACCCCCCACCGTCGTGGCAAGTTACTGATGCCAGCAGCATAGAAGGTTTTATCCTGATTGCACAGCCATTTCAGGTCACCACACTTCAGTTCTTCATCACTTTTAATTTTCCATCCTCCTAGGTTCACATGCGTGAAAGTCACTGGGGACTAAGTCAGGGCTGTAAGGAGGGTGCCTCATGATATCGCCCCCGTAAAATTTTCTGTATGTTGATGAGGGTTTTGGTGCAGTGTCATGACCAGGTCTTGACTGCCGAATCGCTTGGTGCACGTCATTGTGAAGGGAGTTATTGCAATACCGCACGCTGTAATAAGCCTGTTTCCTAAAATCAGCTTCACGGCTTTCAGAAAACTTACTGTACCATACACACTTGCACGTGGCAGGGTCTCCTCCTCATGCTATACATTTAACTTGCGAAGAATTTCTGCTGGTTTTGCTTTCTCTTTCATTAGGAATTTGATATACAGCTCTGTTCTACACTATGTCTTCACAAGGTCGGACGCCATCTTGAACTGGTTCTAATGCGCAGAAGTGGGGCGCATGGCTATGTGCCATGAAGTGAGTGGATTGTTACCATCAGCTGTCCATAAAATATTTCAATTTTTTAGGTGCCTACGTCTTCATAAAACAAATAAAGTCCATGTTAACCTTGAACCACCCTCATGATGAGCCAACACAATAACCGGTCGACACTTCTTAAGTTAAGTAAAAAGTTTCTTGAAAATGGTGTGTTACAGTGTTTAAGGCTTCTTTCGGACTTCGTCCATGGCTTAGAACTTCTATATAAAAACCACCATGTATAGGAAACTGACTCCTTAGGCAGAAATATGTTCTCTGCTGGGATCAGTGGCAGAACTGCCTCTGCTCTGGACCACTTAGAGTAGTGGCTTTTGTATATACAAATTGGAACGATGCCCAGAGCGCAAGAGAACAGCTGTAAGACGACAGTGAAGAGTACTGTGTTCTGAAATGTATCACCGAGTAGTCTGTAAGTTCACCGACGTTTCGGAGGAACATCTTCAGAGTGAAATTCTTCTTGCTGGTTACTTGGCTTACACTTCCGAGTCTGAAGATGAAGACAGTACATCCCTCTGAAAGAGTCGGGGCAGCTCAGTCGGCATAGCGACGGGCTATGTGCTAGGCGACTGGGGTTCGATTCCCGGCAGGGACAGGATTTTTCTCTTCCCCATGCCGTCTAGACCGGCCCTGGGGCCCACCCCGCCTCCTTTCCAGTGGATACCGGCGGCTCTTTCCCTGGGAGTAAAGAGGCCAGAGCTTGAAACTGACCACTCACCTTCATCTAGTGCCGAAGTCAAGAATGGTGGAGCGATATATCCACTTCCGCATAAGTCTTCATTGCGTAATGCTGAAATAATTAAGCACAGGGAAAATGTTACTATCTACGTTCCTCCAAAAGTCAGTTGACTTCTAGCATCATATCACAGAATATGACTTTCTTACAGAGGCAATACATTCCTCAGAAACGTCAGTAAACTTCTATCAGTATACATGACATCAAATCACAGAAGATAGGGCTTTCTGAACCTGAAGATGGAGGCACTATGTTCCTCTGAAACGTTGGTAAACGTCACATGAAAGAACATAGTCATTGTTATGAGAACCTCGAATCCAATCCCTTCAAACAAATTTGATCGAAAGCCGGTAAGCGGTTTGCGAAGTGAAGCAGACAGACAGGACTGCAGGTATACACAGAGGGCTTAAGAAGTTCAGTTAATATTTATAACATTATCACTTCTACATCCACGCACATTTGCCACAGTCATTCGTAGCTGGAGGGTTCAGCCGCGGTGTAGAAGTCTGAGGTCACCGGTAACAAGGTTCACTTTCTTTTCACTTTTCACTCGAAGTTAGGGGGGCAAATTGTGTGCTAGATGTTATTTTGGAAAGCTATGAGAGGAGACATGAATAGCTAAATAGTAAATATGTAGGCCATCATGAAATTTCTATAAGACCTAACTGTGCATCCGCCTGTCAATAAGTAATCCGTGAAGATGGACGATTTCTTTAGGTTTCCTCAACACTGACTTCTTGGATCTGACGCCAAGTAGTCTGGTAGATATTGTGACATGTAGACCTATGGCCAAGTAACAGCTGTGTAAACAGGCGACAGTACAACAGCCGTTGCTAGGGAACAGCTCTATGGACATGTTGCTTTCTCGGTAACGAGAAAACACGCAATAATGGAAGAGACGTTTTCTGTGCGGTCCATGCCGGGGTTATATAATGAGGACTGGTAGTTCGCGTGGAGGCGGAACCCAGTGCCTGAAGTATAACTGGGTCACCCTGTTCCTGGGGGATATAAATACGGGGTCGTGGCCCTCCTGGTTGGGGGAGTCTTAAATCTGAGACAGTAAAATATGGTCATGAGCCCCGCGGAATTCGGACCCGAGAATGACTGCGCTGGCGAGGGCTAGCAGCAATTGTAAACGACAGACCCGTGCTGTGGTCACAGAGGGCGCCCCACATCAACAAATCAGCAACTGTCTGACAGTAATAAAAATCTGGTCTTGGGCCCCAGATGGAGCATGACACCAAGACAGACTGGCCGACTGAGCGTCGGTCATAACATAATTTTGACTTTTTTTCACGACTCTCAGAATCATGTGACAGTAAAATATGGGCGTCGGTCCCGCGGTACTAGGAACCAAGGATGACTGTGTTGGCGAGGACCAGCAGCAATTGTAAACGACAGACCCATCTTCTCGTCTAAGGGGATGTTGCATAAGGACTACGACAGCAAGGGTTCAGTTGAAAAAATCGATTGTCGGGTCTCAAGGTGCTTAGCGCGGTAAACTGCCAGCCGTGAAGTAACTCTGACTCTGGTTCTGACTCTACATGAAGGACGGTTTAGTGTATTAACTTCATGTATAACAGACTGGAGAAGCTGTAATGTTTTGATCATAATTTGGGAGGTGTTTCATTCAACTGAGGCAGAGAAACTGGCTGCACTGAGGTTTCAGCACTTTTTCTGTGTTCCTCCACAAAAATTCCTGTTTAGTACCTCAAATTGTGGCACATCTACTTCCCAGGGCTTCATCTCTGATGGAGAATTTGGCTGAATGCAGAGTAAAGAAACTTTTTTTATATATATTCGTTGGAGCCCTTTCCCAATATCTGTAATATTTTTCCACGCTTGGCCTATTGTTCCACCCTGAAGACTGAGGCAACAGGTCCGTCAGAAACAATGGTAGTCCTGACGGTGTCAAATCCCAGACGACACAATTTATCGTCGGTTAAAGAGGTCTGGTTCCGAAATACATCTGTGGAAGTAGTTCTCGACTGAAGAATTGATTCTCATCAACAGTTAAATGTGGAATACAGCAGTTATGATTGTGGACTAAAACTCGCTCGAAAGTAGTGGAAACTTGGTCAGACTCTGCTTCGGCACCCAAAAGGGGAACATTTGCGTGCTTCGGGTCACAGGTTCCTCTAAACCGTGGAAGTGGGCCATGTTACGTGCTCACTGAAGCTTGCCTACAGAGTACTCACTTTTACTACGTACATGAAGCAATGGATTTCACACTGGCACCCAGCAGACTGTCTTAGCTTTACAGCTCTAGATTAACACAGATTTACCTATTTTGCGTGTTTTTTTTCAGTCCCTCCAGGTAAGTGCCACGATAACACCTCGATTACATCGTGATCGCTTCCTTCCAAATCCTCTACAGTTCATCTGTCATTCTACCATTCTACGTTATATGTGTATAGTCTAGTTACCGAGATCGTCATTATATGAGCCACAAACAAGAAACAAAGGAGACTCCTAGTGGGCTCTTCCATATATAAATAAGCATCTCGTCTAATCTGAGCTAGTACCTTAACATGGTGGGGATTTCTTGGAGAGTTATGCTAGCGGGAGTGTTAGTTCCTAGTAGGGTCACCAGTGCCAGACACATCAGAGACTAGGGGCAAGCGAAAGGTAGCCCCTGGTTCCCCTGGATAGGAGCTGAGCGTGAAGCATTAATTTTACAGCGTTAAACAACACGTGTCAAGAAACCTAACGATAGAGGTCGGGCGATAAATTCTGTGAAAAGACTAGGGAAATTTATAAGAACTGTAAGTTGCACTATGCCACCTACAATATATTTGCTTTATTTAGGTCAGGGGTACTGAAGTCACATATTGGGAGATGTAAGGGAAGGGTAAATTCATCCTTGGGCTTAACTAATTAAGCATCACGCCGTGAAGACGTATGGGGGAGTAGAGGTATAGTTGCATCATTCTTATCCTCGGCGCTAGATGGAGGTGAGTGGTCAGCTTGACGCCCAAGATGCTTTACCCTCGATACCCATTAGATAGGAGGCTGGGTGGACCCCAGGACAGGTTTGGACGACGTGGAGAGGAGAAAAATCTCACCTTTAACGGGACTTGAACTCCGACCCCTCGGGCGTCAAGCCCGTAACCAGTCGCTATACCGACTGCGCCCTCCTGGCTCACCCTCATGTGAGGACAGCGTAAATTCTAAATACAAGCGAGTGATGATAGTAATGAGCACTGTGGTTGGAAGGATGGTGATGTCTCCACAGTGTCTCGATAAATCGAGTAAAACAGGATGTGTCGGTGGCACGCGGTAGCGAAGTCGGTTGAGGCACTATGCTACAAGCCGGAAGGTCGCGGGATCGAATTCCGATGAGGTGGATTTTTTAAATTTGCCTAATCCTTCCAGCCCCACTATGGTCCTGCGGTCGACTCAGCCTCTAATCGAAATCAGTACCAGGAATCTTTCTGGGGATAAAGGACGGGCGCGCAGGGCTGACAACCTTGCCATCTATGAGCCGATTGTCTATAAAATGTGGGCCTCAACGTCTCACAACCCTATGGGCCTTCACGGCCTGTTACAGGGATAGCTTCACTTTTACTTTTTTTACAACAGGATGTGTTTGGCATTGACATTCGATTCCCACTCTGAGGGCACAACAAATTATGGTTTCTGTTTCAGACGCTGGTGATTCCTACGAAGATTACGAACCTTACGCCGAAGATTCTACGGCCCTTTATTCGGATGATTCGACAGCCATGACGAGCAGCGGGAGCTATGGCAGAGGGGTTTACAACCCGCGGGTCGAATGCCAGCTGTACTCACCCTCCATGATGTTACGACGGGCACCTTGTCACCCTTCCGAACAGTCTCTTGTTTATGTGTACGAAACAGGATCCAGGAGAAGGAAGATGGCTCTACCTAAGGGAAACCTCGGAACGCGGAGCGCCCCAGTGCCCTCTGCGACTCTTTTTCGGAGACACAGCACCAACAGCCATTACCTGAGCAACGACCAGAGGTGACAACCTGCTTTACTTGCACCTGAGGTCCTTATATTGTCAGTTTCCTCACAATACCAACACAGGCAAACACTCTGAAACCCGGGGATTCATAGGTCAGCACCACACGAGTTAGTTTGCCAGACGGCCACTTCTTCCCTTCGGCGCTAGGTGTCTAGGCTCATCGTTGTTTATTTATCCCGGCCGGTAGTGGAATGGATACTAGCGTTTTGCTTTGTACAGTAAACCCTCGCTAATTCGGATGAACTGGGGGGCATCCAGATTAGTGAAGCAAAAGGTAGCACTAAAAGATAGAAAAGAAACTTGGAACGCAAAGAAATGGAATATTCAATGATATAAATAGTACTGATGAAAATAAATAACAAAATATTACTGTAAAACCTTTATTTAAAAAATATAAAAACAATACATTTATTCATAGATAGAAGACTCAGAAGTTGTACTTGTTCTTGATCGTAATAGTGGAGGTTTGAAGAAACTGTTAAGTTTTGTCTGAACAGAGAAGTGACTCATCTGCGTTCCTAAATGCCGTAAGTCTTTTAATGTCTGTACTCCACTGTGAAGAGCATTTTCCATTTTTATTATTTCGATCCGGATTAACTATTAACTGGATTAGTAAGGGTTTACTATACCTTCTTGGGGCCGCGCCATAGCTCAAGCAGTTAGTCGCTGGCTTCCCACCGCGGCGGCCCGGGTTCGATCCCGGGGTCTGGTCAAGTGGGATTTGTGGTGGACAAAGTGGGGCTGGGGCAGGTTTTCTCCGAGTACTTCGGTTTCCCCTACCAATCTTCATTCCACCAATTGCTCCACAATCACCCTCACATGTCATCTGGGGCTGGTACAATAGGCCAGAAGTGGCCGCATTACAAGGGATTTAGTCCAACCCCACTAGCAATAAAAAAATAATACTATAACTTCATTGTTTCTTACCCCTAAATTTGGATTATTTGTGTGTTTAGTACCTACCTATTGCCCACCCGTGGTTCTGAAAATTCTCTACTCCCATATGACCCTCAGGGTGCCGGATGTGACAGATCCGAAATGAGGCAAAGATGCCTCACTAAAGTCACTGCAGTGCGCTCAGGGGTCGGGTAACCTACCTACTCGCGGGTCTCATTAAGAAGTACATTTTTTTCAATACAACGGTAAGAGCAAAAGGGCAAGTTGACGTTACCGCTGCGCTTAGTTAATTAAGAACCATGTCATAGAGACCTATGGGGGAGTTGAGCCATAGCCTCGTCATTCTTGACCTCTGCACTAAATAGAAGTGGTCAGCTTCATGCCCCAGCCGCTTTACCCTAGCGAAGAAACCTGCAATAGGAGACTTGCTGGGCCCCAGCATCGATCTGGACGTTATGGAGGAAAGAAAAATATTTGCCCCTGCCGGGAATGGAACTCAAATTCCTCGGTCGTCCAGCCCGTAGTGTAATCACTATACCGACTGAGAAATTCTGGCTCAACGATAGAAATATTGTGACATGTAGACGCATTACCGAGAAACAGCTGTGTAAACAGGCGACAGTACAAGAGCTGTTGCTAGATAACAGTTCTGTGGACACGTTATTTCCATGGCAACGAGAGAACACGCCAGCCCTAAGGTAACTGTGACTTTGGCTTTGAGTTGTGAATGGAGTCGGTTGAGATTTGCACTTGTGAGAAGTGAGAAACTGGTATATGAGGCCGGAACAGTTCGGGAGCCCAAAGGAGGGGAAAACTTCCGCTTTTGGAAGGCGCTACTGAGCAACGGCGAATAAAGGCTGAGAAAGCTTTATGTGTGCTGTAGTTGCAGTGACCTTCGGAGTGTGTCGGACTGTCGCAATTATATGTAGTTACGAGCGTAAGTGTCCAATAAATCCGATTACCAATCCAGATCCTGTCTATAGTCACTCAGTCACGTGACAGTATATATCCTGAAGTGATCAGATATGTTAAGCACGCTCACATATGAAAAACAGTCGTACCCCGGTGGAAGAATGTATGTAGCATGGCGAAAGACAACAATTGTCGGTAACACAGAGAAGTTGTCGGTTACGTCACTGAATGTACGTCACCGAAACACGGGCCACGTTTCACGATAATTTCATGGTAAACTGCACGATGTTCCTTTATTCGCCGCGCAAGAAATTACGTATAATAATGGTATTTCTGTCTGAGAAGCGGTCATGGTTACTTTTGCGCATCTGGTTGAACAGTTAAGTTATTAAAATGAGTGAAAGCTGTTGGCCCAACCGATGGGGAGATGTCACAAGGAAGTAGGAAGCAAAACACTGACTGCATTCCTACGGTATAATTCGTCCAATTTCTCCTTGAAGAAGAAAACACTAATGAAGGGTAATAAATCGGCGACTCAGTGGCGCAGAACGTTAGTAAATTTCGTATTACTTAACTTCATTTTTTACCGCATAACAGCGCCACTTATGATCCACTTTACTTTCATCTCCGTCTTTCATTCTCTGATATTTCGCCGTTGCTTTCTTTCGTTCTGCTTTTCATGCAGAGCAAAATATAACTAATTTGTTTGATGCAAAATGGGTATAACCAAAACGAGAAAATAACGCGTTTGTTTCTAGCAAACCGGCAATTTAGTACAAGTTATACCGTGTCCAAAGAGACACTGTTCAGGTTTCTGAAACAATATTTTCTTACCTGTTACATATATTAAAATTACATACCGAAATGAAGTTTAATTCATAGTTTCTGTCGGCGAATTTCCTCCACGTGTCGACTACCACCGGTGTAGCGAATAGACTGCGAAGAGAGGATTGAGGCTCGATTCCTGGCAGGGGCTTTCACAGCGTCGAGACGGTCGAGACCGACATTGGGGCCCACCCAGTCTCGTATCCAATGGGCATCGGGGTCTTCCTTCGGTGGGTGAAGCGGCGGGGTGTGTCCAGGATTCTGTCACAGAGTCCATTACAAATCATGCTCCTGTAATGAGACGCTGTCTCATCCTCATGAAATAATTCAGCCTCGTCTTTTCAACTGCGCAGAAGCGAGTGTGCCTAGTAAATAAAGTCAAAGCTGTTCCTGTGCTTATTTGTTTAAGCACTGTGCCATGAAGGCATATGGGGGGGTATAGGTATAGCTGTATCGTTCTTGACCTCGGCACTAGATGAGGCTAGGGATCAGCTTCACGCCTCGGCCGCTTTACCCTTTGTGGATAGAGTCCCCGGTATCCATTGGATAGGAGGATGTATATCGTATCTGTAATGAGAGGGGCTTCAGCAAGTTAAATATTCTGTGCTAAGTCGTAGCATGTACTTCCCCTTATACAAGTGAACTTGTCTAAGCACCTTGGAAACGAAATCGATTGCTGCTCGGGAGCCCACTGTTGTAAAATCCATCCGATCGGTATGTCGAGTTTCGACAAAATCGACATTTCAAATTTGGGCCCCTCGTGCGCATACTTTCGTGTTCCTGAAGATACCGCATATTCAGCTTAATTAAGGGTGACAGTCTGCACAAATTACTGAAACTGAATCGAAATATTTGGAACCTTTTACGAAAAAGTCGCTTTTTTTTCTGGGGCCCATTTGAAGGGACTCAATTTTTATAACTACAATATTCATATTCACAGGGCACTGGCCTATTATTGAGAAACTCTTAAATATCGAATATAAATAAGATTCGTCCAACCGCTCGGGTGCTAGCCAGAGGCATGCATCCATCCATAAATAAATACATACATACGCTTCCATACATACTCACACACACACACACACACACACAGAGTCGGCATTCCGGAAAAGACTTTGTATTCACGGCCCTAAAAAATAGAAGTCCATCATATCTGAAGATGGAATTCTTCATGACCACGGCACCTTCTCATATGTACTACGTACGTTGTATATGGTAAAACAAAATGTTCTCTGACTTTGTTATGAAGCAGACCGCGTCACTTTAACTTAGTTTCACTTTCAATTTTTATCACATTACTTGGCATTTGGTACAGGCTTTCTGAGTTAACTCTTCATCTCGGTGAATTTTTAGTCTACTATCCTTATTTAGAAAAAGTTAAAGTAGGCTTATGAGATCGCCATGCTGTCTGCGTGTCTGTGTATTCCTTCATATAAACTTTCGAATGCCTGAACCAATCTTTATGAAACTTGGTATCATGGCATCTGAACCCACCTCAACGGCGTTCTCCATAAATCCCTCCCATAGGTCTGTGTGTCTGTATGCGTATCACCCTATAGTTGCTAGGCAACGGCTCTGCAAAGTCGTTCCTGAGGCGAGGAACACACACACAATAATAGAATAATTGCTGGACTCGTTTTGTAGACGGTCCGTGTCGTACCAAAGGAAATTAGGCGATTAGACCTTCCTCGAACTTCTTGAAAGCTCACTTTTCTTATTTTGAAAAAAAAAAAAAAGTAGCTTATGAAGTTTGTCCTTAACATGCGTACTAGCTAAGAAATGCACTATTTTAAAGACCTCATCCTGATGTTCTACACCATGGGTGGCCAAACCTACTAGACATCGGAGCCGAATACGATAATTTTCAGAAGTTCGGCAGCTGGAAACAGACATGGATTGGATGGCGCAGGTGTTTGGGTTTATTTCTCCTCGTGGAATTATTCTATTTACCTTTGAAGCCCAGTGTATCACCTGCTTCAATATATTAAAACTCTTCATTCTGCTCACAGAGTGTATCTGTGTGTTCCTCGTGGTTCTCACAGTAAACAGCGACTGTTCTCATAAACAGCGTTAACTAGTTGGGGTTTGTAGCGGAGACGTGTTATCTTCTGTGACGTACGAAAATGAATTTTATACCCCATACAGAGCTATGCTCCAAATGTAGCATTTCACTAGTTTCTTCCTCAAATTTAAGTCCAATTTGCTGGTAAAAAGATTCTTCTTCTTGCTAAATGCAGCTTTGCCATGGCAATCCTGGATTTAATTTCACTAGTACACCTTCCATCATCTGTTAACAAGCTACCCAAATATTTAAAACATTTCACATTCTCCAGTTGTTTTTGGTCTATCTTTATTGTAACTGGGGTTGGTTGTCTCGAAATTTTCATTACTTTTGTTTTTTCCACATTCATTTCCATGCCATAGCACCTTATATTTTACGTACTTAGAAAAAATCCAGTTTTAAATACCCGCGTGTAGGCGGGTTCGAATACCTCCACCGTAACCCTAGGAGTCGTAGGAGGCGATGAAAAGGGAACCCAGTGCCCGGGGGTATAATTAGGTCACCCTGGCGCTCCCTGGGGATTCCAGAACCTGAGACAGTAAAATAGGAGTTCCACGGGATTTGGCTCCACAATGACTGCGCTGGCGAGGACTAGTAGCAGTTGTAAACAGCAAATCCATAATCAGAGAAGGAGCCCCACATCAACAAACCTGTATCTGTCTGACAGTAATAAAAACCTGGTCTTGGGTCCCAGAGAGGTGCTTGACACTAAGACAGGCTGGCCAACTGACCGTTAGTCATAATAAAACTTGGACTTTGACAGTCTTTAAATAGTTAAGTACTTGCTTACTTATGGAGCTGAGCCCTTCTTGAGGAGAAGCCAAATATACAGCTACTCAAGAATTTCCCATCGTTTTATGGAACCTGAAGGTTCATTACTGTGTTCACAAGAGCCCTCCACTGGTCCGTATCCTGTGTCAGATCAATCCAATCCATACCATCCCATCCTATCTCTCTAATATCCATTTTAATATTGTTCAGCCACCTACTCCTTGGTCTTCCCAGTGGTCTCCTCCCTTCTGGCTTCCCCATCAATATTCTATATTCACCTCATCCTCCTTGACTTGATCATTCTAATTATATGTACTTGGAGAAGAGTACAAGTTATGAAGCTCCTCATTAAATGGTTAAATACAGTTGCAAAAAAGGGTGGGGGCAGAAGAGCTAATGCACTTTCCAAGAGCTGCATGCGACTCTCGCGCCAGAATCTGGCCACTTATGTACCAGACGCTCTGAAATATACGAGTACATTCACAACCCATCTGGTCTCTGAGTATGATCTAACCTTGCAGCCACTTCCTAGTCTATTCATACTTCCTACCACACAAGATTTGACGTTCTTGTGATGTCGTCTATGAATGTTACTGTCTTCTGTAATGTGACACAGAACAGTGACTCTTCTATCCTAAAAATGGAAGCAGAAGATTCCTTTGAAACGTTGGTAATGGTCTACCAGATTACACTGTGTCACATCCTAGAACACAGAAGTCTTTATATCCTAGAAGTTTAAAAATTAGAGTTACATCCTTCTAGCACCAAACTTATTGAATCTGTTTTGCTTGGGATATTTGTACAATCTGGCTATCTACAGTGGTAAGAATTCTATGCTTCATGCTTCCGTGGCTGCTTGTGGGGAATGAACATATTTCTGCAGCTAATTTTAGAGTTGTACATTTCACTGCATTCTTAACGAAACTTGAGTAGAAAGGTGTAGCTGCTGTTGCAAAAAGCAGACTTCTGGGAAATAAGATCCTTGACTTTAAAATTAAACAAGGATTTCCTTGTAATTGATTTTATGGCAATAAATCAACCAGAAAATTAATGTATTGTAGCGTGTAGCACCATTGCTATGCAATGATCGTGAGATGGGCAGATATGCCAGACCCGCTCCTGGGTAATGTCTCGGTAAACACGATCCCACTGCTAGGCAGCAGATTCTTAACAAAGCAACACTTGGACTTTAACAATGGAAATATGTGTTTCCTATATGGTTGGTGCCAAGAGGTTATAAGCAAGGGACAATGTACGTAGTTCAGAGTTAGTTCTGAGATGGTGTTCAGCCAGGAATGGCATGAGTGTAGAAGTTGAAGAATCTCCACTGTTAGAAGCCGTTGCCAGGGAAAGGCTGGTGAAGACACAGCAGGCTGGAAAATCTTAGTGGGTGCTGTGGTGGTTAATAAATTGTGGAGATCAGTGGTGGTGCTGTAATTGCTTGTAGTTCTGAGTTGTTTGAATAAGTGGTCAATAATTCCATTCATCAATCCAATCACTGTTTATATTCATACACTGTAACATGAGACAATTTAAGCAAATTATTATGTTTCCTTTGAGCCAAATGCATAATATTACTGGATAATATTGAAGCCAAACATGTCCATCCACATGTTGGGTATTATGGACTGGATTGATTTGGCTCAGGATAGGGATCTTTGGAGTACGCTTATGAACATGGTAATGAACCTTCAGGTTCCATAATATGATGGGAAATTCTTGAGTAGCAGCACGATTGGTGGCTTCTCAAGACTGGCTCAGCACCATTGAGTTAGTTAGTTAGTTATGAGATATAATCACTGTGGTTTGATCCACAGCAGCAGTAGTTGGGGGTTCCTCTTCATCATAATATCCAGAATGGCTCCATGAAATGACAAAGACAGCTGGAGCATGATATTAATAACTATACTAGCGTAGTCGGTTAATAACTGGCTATGGACTGAATGACTAAGGTGTTGGAGTTTGAGTTTCGGTAGGGCCAAAAATTTTCTCTTCTCCACATTGTCCAAACAGGCTCTGAGGCCCACCCAGCCTCCAATTCAATGGGTACCATCGGCTCTTTCCCTAGGGGTAAAGCGGCTGGGGCTTGAAGCTGGCCACTCATCTCCAACTAGTGCAGAGGTCAAAAGAATGTGGATTTATACATCCACTCTCCTGTACACCTTCATGGCATAGTGTTTATTTAGGCACAGGGACAACTTTACCTTTACCTTTCTCTCTAGTGGTAAGGATGAGAAGGCATGAATCTTTACCTCATTCCCCCCCCCACAGTCCATAGTAGTGTTTTACTTAGACACTAGCTTCTACTAAATATTACCATTTTATCTGTTTCTAGATCACGAAGAGTGATGCATGGGCAACTGAGTACTGACTGTTACCCCAGCGAGATGATTGATATAGATCCGCCTTACATGACGACATCTTATGATGATTTGCACCATCCTTACTACGACATATACTGCTCCAAGCCTGTACCAGTCACACCTCATCACTTTGGGCTCAGCAAGTATGGTCATCTCAAGATAGATTATTCCCTCAGTTGGAATTCTCTTGACAGATACATCGCCACAGACTGATTACAGAGACTGTAATTGAGTCCCATTTAACACATTTAAGGGTAGGTTAACAAGATAATATTTTGGTGTCACATCCATTCCAAGAAATGGGACTCTTAAGATGAAGTACATCTTTTCAAATCCTACCTCATGTAAGCTTCAATAATACCTTAAAGAACATGAATGCTTGTCACACTGACAAACTGTTATACTTATTAGATCTGAGGTTCTCACAGCATAGACTATGAAGATGATTATCTGTTAGGATTTGACACTGTGTAATCTGGAAAAGTTCAACAATGTTTCAGAGGACTGTACTGCCCCTACCTTCAGAGCTTAATATATGTTCATTGCTTGCTAAGCATATTTTGGACCTTGAAGATGGAGGTAGTGTATTGTTTAAAATATTTCTGAACTACATGGCATCACATCCCAATGGTGGTACTCTTCAAACACTTACCTTGTTCTCTGAGTTCCTTTACAGGTAATTTAAATTGAAACAGCATCAGGAATGTAAATAGGTATCCTTAAATTTTTGTATATTCCTGTACCTTTCCTGATGATTTTTCAATAAAGTTGAAGGTTTCATTAACCTCATCACTGCCAAACATAGTATCCTTGAAGTGTAAGTAGGGTGTTGGTGATGCCAAACGCCCCCAGTATATTCTTTAATAACCTGCTTAACTCTGTTCTTCATTCCAGCATCAAGCTAACACCACAAGCTTTAGGAACGTTCAATTGTTGTGTAAGAATCAAAGATCTTAAATTGTAGAGCTTGACATTTCATGTGTATTTTTAATATAATAAGTAAGTTTAAATATTCTCAAGAAAATTATTGATTTGGATTAGAATTATTACACTGTCATATCCTTATCATTAACTAGAACTGTTAAAACCTTTCACCATAGAGCATCGAGATTCTAAATGGTTCTGACAATGGTGCATAACACTCAGAATTACTCAGTTTTTGCATTCTGTCCAGCATCTGGTGTTCTAAAAACTAGAGAACACACCCTCCTCAGGTGAGGGGGAGACGCCTACTCAAAGGACCCAACAGAGTGTCTTCCCCTCACCCATAGAAGGAAACAAATCCAGTTTCCAAAACACTGTGTTCTTTAGTTTTTAGGATACTGGACAATGGACAAAGTCCAAAAACTCAGAAATTCTGAGTGCTATAGATTTTTAGCTCTTCTCCAAAATAAATAGACTCACAAAATTAAATTGGTCTGTCACATGCTGCTAAGGTATGACATACTAAATTATGAATGGATATGAACCCTTCAGCAGCTCCCCTGAAGTGAGTACACAATATGCCATTTTCACAAATTCTAATATGGTAACACTAGTTCCTGCCTGATATCTAATGCCATTTGGGTATTTATTTACTCTCTTTTTGAATGTCATCTGAGGTAGGTATCATTGTTAGTGCAGCTGGACTGTCACCAAATAACGTAAGTGAAGAGTAATTGTTTAGGATGCACTGAATCTGCCACTAACCTGATCATGTAAAGAATTTAAATTTGTCAGCTTCAGGAGAAGATACCCACCAATGGTTCTTTCTTTTTTCTTTCATTATTTAACAGCACTGTCAGCAACTGACCATATAAAATTAAGTGCTAGAATGAGAGATGAATAGTGAAATGGTGTAGATTTAAAAGGAAGTGATTGTAATCTAACCAGGGTGCTATCCTGGAATTTGTCTAGGGTGACTGAGGAAATTTCTAGAAGACCTTAAGCCAGAATTATTGGTGTCAGAGCCCAGAGCAGAACAACACATCTCCAGAACTGGTATCTTAGAGTGTTGCCACTATGCCAGCCTACTTTGTAGAGCTCAAAAGATGAAAAGTCTCAAAGTACAGTAGTAAATATTTTATTGTAGTTTGCAAAAGGATAAAAAATAATTTTGGGGGGCAGTATAAAACAAGATATAGAAATATTATCAAAATATTTCCTCATCCAAAGTCTGTTACAAAAGAAATTATAGATGAAATTTCCACACTGTATGGAAGAATTAATAGTGTTGCTAGATAATGCTGTGAAACACACCAATATGCATATTGAAAGAAATCAACTAGCCATTCAGTACTTAAGATACAAGGATGCAGAAGTAACAGCAAATGATGAAATTCAGGCTGCTTTAGATGGTAGGGACCGTGAAGGGATGTCACACAAACTTTCAAGAAATATGGAGTTTTGGTAGACAGGTTTACTTGGGGCACATAAGTGGCTAAAGGGACTTTTATTTTTGTTATGTTTACTAAAATTCTGCAAAAGGCAGGTAAGGAATATCAGAAGAAAAAGTTACAGTCATTCATTTTCTAGTGGATCAATGAGTAATGGGCTTTTGGTGTATATAAATATTGATACTTCTGGAAGTTTACAGTGGACCACAAGATGATGTATGATATCACACATATATATATGATATGATACCAAATAAGACAGAAGAAATGGACAGACTAATTTCTGATAAATGCAATACATACAAACCAGGAACCTTACTATTCAGTAGTGATATATCAATTATTTTCTAGCCTTTAGGAAAAGTAAGTTACCTTTATCAACATTTTGTGGAAGAACAGAAACTACATAGTATTGAAAGAATGGATGATAGTGAATAATGAATTGGAAAATATGTGTAAATGGCCATGGTGCATGTAGCATGAATGGGGCGAAGAGGAATGTGTGTAGGATATTGGTGGGAAAGCCAGAAAGAAAGAGACCACTGGGAAGACCAAGGCGTAGGTGAGTGGACAATATTAAAATTGATCTTAGAGATATATGGTGGGATGTTATCGATTGGATTGATCTGGCTCAGGATAGGGACCAGCGGAGGGCTCTTGTGAACACGGTAATGAACCTTTGGGTTCCATAAAATGCTGGTAAATTCTTGAGTAGCTGCAGAATTGGCGGCTCCTCCAGAAGGGCTCAATTTCATTAGTAAGTAAGTAAGGAACACAGTAGGGAAGATAATGGCAGAATGTGTAGAAGGTAGGATATCAGTCTTCAATGTGAACTTCATTGCATAAAATAGCATGAAAAGCTTGAAGTATGAGAATAATAGGATATAAGCAGATGTGAACACTGTTGACTTGGCTTGCTCCTGAATAGTTCCAATGCATTTTAATCTGGCACAAACTTACTCTTTCGTCTTCTTCTTTACTACCACTACAACTCTGCGTGGGTCTTGGCCTCCTCCATATACTCTGCCAGCATAGATGTCTGGGACATTGGGGTGTGCAAACCTCCTATCCATCAGAATGTGATAGTCCTCAAGGAGGCTTACTCTCTCTTTATCAACTTGAATATGTAGCATGGACTTCTAACACAAGGAACTCTTCTGATTCTTCTATTGGACATTGCTTTCACACAAACTCAACATTACTTGGGACCAAGCAATCTTCTTTGCATACAGGATGCCCCAGGTTCAAATATTGGCCCATGGACACTTTATTCTGAGGTTTAGGAGGATTTTCTTCAGCAGGTCTGGGATAGCTCCCTGAAAACTGACTACAGCTCTTTTTCCAATGCCATTTTCAGTTCAGTATGCATCATTCTGACATTCAGTGTTATTTTTCTGGAGGCTGATAGAGGAAGCCTACAACAATTCAAATTCTGATAGACCAACTTTTAATAATTTATTCATGAGAACAACAGAATACATCTTATGAACAAAAAAGTAAGTTACCAGAAACAGTAGACTGTAGTTGGAGCGTGCATGCTTGCTCCCTGGATAGGTGTAACATATTAAATACTGTGAAGGCATTTTATTCTTTTATTATATTATTTGTTTCACAGTGTATCTTGAACATTAGAACTGAACAACTTCCGCTTCTTTGCTGCTGCAAATCTTGTTCTCCTTCCTCGTGTGGATGGATTAACACCTTGCTTTAAAGGAACATCAGCCACTACAACAAAATCTGATGGTTCGGTCACAAATTGCAGTTGAGGCCTAATGGAACTTCTAGTTCCAACAATACTCTCATCCATTTTTCTATCTGTTGATATTGACAGCATGCCAGGAGAACCAGAACATGCTTCTGCACAGATCTTGGCAGTACTGCATTCCATTGGTTTACCATCTCCTGGTCCTATATCCTGTTTAGGATCTGTGAAGTCACTGGGTGAATGTAAAATATTTTCCTTATCAGAGGACTGTACTGAATTATAAACTGTGGTTTTCTTTAAAGCTGATCGTAAAGGAGTTCTTGAAGGTTGGTTCTGGTTTATGTTGGAAAGAATATGATACTGGAATGACTTGTTTCTTGTTGCTGGTCCAGGTGCATAACTTTCTAAGGAGCTGGACTGCAGTGGCAGTGGTGATTCCTCCTTATCCCGAATCATGTTGTTGTACTGTTGTTCCAGTGCTAATACTTTCTGTAGTGTACACAAATGAGCAGAGCAGAAAATGTAATAGGAAGTAAATGCACGGTACAAGAAAATCCAAAGTACATATGTTGAATTTGAGGTTGTCATAGTGGTGACTATGAAGCATATGGTCTCCAGCACTGTAACACTATAAAGTTTAGAAAACCCAAATATTTTGGAGGAAAATCGGACATTTTCCAAATTATACAGCATAATAACCCAGAAGACCACATACTTTGTTTAATTAAATGGTACAATAAATATTTCAGTTTGATACAGATATTTTCTGCGACAATACCATACCTCTCATTACAAACCTGGTAGTATTGAAATTTTTGGTATGACTATATTGTCCATGTAATCATATGAGTATGGAGTCCTTTCCATGGGGAAGGGCAGGTAAAACATGTAGGTTTAGAATTATGTCTTTAAACTCATATTATCTCATCTTACCTTTTACTAATCTACTACAAGTCTTCAAATAAAACTAGTAAGATTTTAAAAAGGATGAAAACTGCACAATGAGGAGCTTCATAACTTGTACTCTTCTCCAAATATAATTAGAATGATGAAGTCAAGGAGAATGAGGTGGGTAGAGCATGTAGCACGAATGAGGGAGACGAGAAATGTGTATAGGATATTGGTGGGAAAGCCAGAAGGAAAGAGACCACTGGNGTATATATATATATATATAATGATTTACAAACCTTTTGATAAAGAACTACATCAGCAGCAGCTCGATCCCGAATCTTTTGGCTTTCACTTTCAGCTGTATTTAATCTCTCTTCCATTTTATGCAACCTTTCTTCATATTCAAATACAATCACATTGATTTCATTTGATTTTTCATTTTGAATATTCTCGAGCTTTTTAGAAAATTCAGAATATTGTGCATGATACTTTGCTTTGATATCTTCTACCTCTCCCTCAGCTTCCATTACTGAATAAAGTAGATAACAAAATGGGATCAGAATTAGTAGAATCTGATGCACTGTTTTCTCAATTTCTCTTTCTGCTAGCCATATATTCATAATTTGACCACTCTTAAAGATGATTGTCTACTTGGAAGGATAGTGTGTAATCTGGTTACCTGCTGCCCCCAACTCCTAGGTAAACAGGATAGATTTCTCTGAAGAGATGGTAAATATCTACAAGCTACACAGTGTCACATCCCAGATGTCAGTAATCTCCATCAACACTATAACAGTAACATATCTGGCAAAACTTAGAGCATATTATCTTACTTATTATTATTATTATTATTATTAT